GAGCTATATTAGCTTCATTTAAGCATTGAAACAAGCTCAGTGCGGTGGCTCACGCCTGTAATCCTAGCACTCTGGGAGGACAGGGTGGGAGGACTGCTTGATGTCAGGAGTTCAAGACCAGTACGAGCAAGAGCGAGAGCCCTATCTCTACCAAAAATAGAAAAATTACCCAGCTGTGGTGGTGCACACCTGTAGTCCCAGCTAGTCAGGAGGCTGAGGCAGGAGGATCACTTGAGGCCAGGAGTTTGAGCCTGCAGTGAGCTATGATGATGCCACTGCACTCTACCCAGGGAGACAGAGTGAGATCCTGTCTCAAAAAAATAAAAGAATTGAAACAAGAGCAGCCATGGAGAATCAAAGTCACTGTTGAAGCCCGTGTTTGCTCTTTCATGCACACACGAGTCATGTTTGTATGGACTGACCACTCTGAGGCTGCCCTGTCTTGGCACTGGAGACGTGGAAGCTAATGAAACGAGGCCTCCGCCCTACGGGGGCTCCTGGCCAGCGAGCGGCCAGGGAGTGGCCCTCCCGATGCCCTCACAATGAAACACAAGATGGGGTTCAGAGATGAATGAAAAAAAGCTTTTGAAAACATCATGGTAAAATCTAGTGCTATTAAAAAGCAGCTCTCTTCAGCAACCAGATCAAGGCAGCCAGCCAAGAGCTAAATTCCCATCAGCTCCAACAACTTGTCTTATTTTGAGACATGGCGATGATGCAGGGAAGGTGCTAAAACCCCTACCTGGGGCATGGGGTGGCTTGGCAGGGGACGTCTGAAATATATTCCAGCACTGGATGGAAGAGACTATGCAAATGCCAAGTGAACAAGGAGAAATTAATGTAGTCTTTTTCTGATGTGTGGTCTTTCAAAGAGCTACTAGAATTAATTAAATCTCTAAAAGAGGAACCCAAAAAGCTGGATGGGGTGTGAGTAACACTCAGGGTCAGCGACTGTACTGTTTCCTATTTTTACCACCGACTTGTGTGTCTTACATGAGTCTCTTTGTCTTAGACACTCAGTAAAGTAAGTCTGGGCTCCTCTGGTCTAGCTCGGAGTTTCTCAAACTCTACCGTATACACGGATCACCTGAGTTAACACATGAACTGCCATGTGAGTTGTATTTAACTCACGCTGGTTTTGACCCTGGGTGCCTCATGAAGCATATGTAACTCACACATCTTTTCACCTTGGGAGCCACATGAACTATGTTTCAAGTTGCATATAACACATGCACAGAAAAAAATAAAAAAATTTTCATTAAATTAGAAAGGATCATTTTGTTTTCAAAGATTTTTTTTTTTTGAGACAGAGTCTCGCTTTGTTGCCCAGGCTAGAGTGAGTGCCGTGGCGTCAGCCTAGCTCACAGCAACCTCAATCTCCTAGGCTCAAGCAATCCTTCTGCCTCAGTCTCCTGAGAAGCTGGGACTACAGGCATGTGCCACCATGCCCGGCTAATTTTTTCTATATATATATATTAGTTGACCAATTAATTTCTTTCTATTTTTATAGTAGAGACGGGGTCTCGCTCTTGCTCAGGCTGGTTTCAAACTCCTGACCTCGAGCAATCCGCCCGCCTCGGCCTCCCAGAGTGCTAGGATTACAGGCGTGAGCCACCACGCCCGGCCTGTTTTCAAAGATTTTATCCTACTTTCGTAAGAAAATACGGTGGCCCCATGGAAAAAACATTTTTTTTTAGTGTGGCAGTTAGTGTGTTACAGTGCAGATTTGACTGAGCAGGTCTGGGTGGGGCTGAGATTCTGCGTTGCTAACAAGCTCTGGGGGACATTGACGCTGCTGACCTCCCATGTGGCTTGAGTAGCCCCCTCCAGCCTCCCTGAGGCCCTACTCAGTCCCACTGAAAGAGAGTCTGAGACTCCCATGGTTGGCATGCAAACCGGAGTTTCAGGTGTACGGCTAGGTGCAGTCTAGAGCAGTTTCTCAGATGCAGCTGCACATTGGAATCACCTGGGAAGCTTAAACTTCCACGGATTGTGACTTAAATGGTCTGGGGTTTGAGCTGGGCATCAGGATTTTTGGAAGCCGCCCTGGCCCGAGTGGTTGGGGGAGAATGGCCACCCCGCAGTGGGCTGGTGGGCGTGGTGGTGGCTGCAGGAGCAGGGTGTGGCCTGGGCTGCCTGAGTCTGGGGAACCAGTTGTCGCAGGGGGGTCTGTTTTCCCCAGAATGTGATTAAAAAGTATAAGAAGCACAATTATATGAAAAGACAAAACAAAACTAAACAAACTAGGGCATTCCTGGATCAATAAGTTTGAGAAACGCAGGATTAAGCAACCAGGTTTTTTCCTGCGAGATTCCTCCACGTGTTTACTGTGCACTATGACCTGCCAAGAGAGAAGCAAAATAGTGACCGTCCCTCAGTCTTCCGTGACCAGGAAGCCTTCTGTCATGGAGCTGATCGAGGGAGCTTGTCACACAAAGCCCCGGACAGCTCCTCCTAAGACACGATGCATATACGTGCAAAATGTCTAGCCTAGTTACTAATGCAGATGTCGCCGCCCCATCTGTATCTTCCTTGCTCTCTCCTTGGCTGTCCTCATGGCCTCTGCAGCCTTTACTGCAGGATGTTCGCTGGGGGGAATGATGGGGACGCCCCGCAAAGGCAATGAGAGTAGAGAATATTCCCTGGGGCACGTCTGATTTTAGAACCGAAACAGAGGTCAGGCGTGAAGAGGGAGGCGTGCTGGTCTGGCTGTGTTGGCAGGCAGGGGACGGCATTCAGAGGGTGCCTGGGACACACCAGCGGGCCACGGCTAAGGCTCCCTAACCAGATGTGAGAGGGGAGTTATGCAGCTGTTTGGTTTTTCCCCAACTCCCACCTCTCTGGGTTTGTAGTCTTTCCCGGGGGGGTGGGCAGGGAAGACTCTTGGAGTTAGATCTTCCTGATTTTAAGTTATCTTTCTGGGGTGTGGGGTTTAGGCTGTGCCCCTCCCCCCTTCAGTAGGCCTCTAGGATATGTCTATCTGTCTGTCTGCCTCCCTCCCTCTGGAAGATGCTAGGGGCAAGAGGGACTTGGAGGAGGAGGGAGGGACCATCCTCACCTTCCCTAGCTAGGACCCCGCTGGGCCCCCCACAGTTGGCTAAGACCTACCAGCAATGGGATTCCGTGCTGCCTGCAACACCAGTGACTTGAAAACAGGATGGTTTTCAAGTACATTGTTCACGAAGTGAAGAGAAAAGGGTCTTCCAATAACAGAGGGGTGAGAAAACAAAACAGGGAAGGAGATTAGGGTAAAACAACATAAGAGCCCAACAACTCAGGAATTTGAGGTTACAGGAAGCTATGATCACTCCACTGCACTCCAGCCTGGGCAAGAGAGCAAGACTCTGTCTCTTAAAAAAAAGAAAGCCAGGCATGGTGGCTCACACCTATAATCACAACACTTTGGGAGGCCAAGGCAGGAGGATAACTTGAGGTCAGGTGTTCCAGACCAGCCTGGTGACCAACATAGTGAGACCTTGTCTTTATAAAAAATTTTAAAATTAGCCAGGCCTGGTGGCCCACGTGCCTGTAGTCCCAGCTACTTGGGAGGCTAAGGTGGTGGGATCACTTGCACTCAGAAGTTTGAGGTTAAAGTGAGCTAAGATCACGCCACTGCACTCCAGTCTGGGTGACAGAGCAAGAGCATGTCTCTAAAAAAGCATAATAATTTTTTAGGGGTCAAAGCATCCAAATACAACAACTCTAACAGGAACAATCACATTTGAAAGAGTAGGCATGTAGTGTTTGTCAAAATGCAGAACAGGCTGTCTCAGACCATTCGGGCTGTTGTAACAAAATGCCATAGACTGGTGGCTTACAAACAACAGATATTTATTCCTTGCAGTTCTAGAGGATGAGAAGTCCAAGATCAAGGAGCCGACAGATTTGGCGTCCGGTGAAGTCCTGCTTCCTGGTTTGTAGAGCCTTCTTGCTGTGTCCTCACATGGAAGGAAGGGTGAGGGGTCTCTCTCAGACCTCTTTTGTAAGGGCACTAATCCCATCACGAGGGCTCCACCCTCATGACCTCGTCACCTCCCAAAGGCCCCATCTCCTAATATCATTCACCTTGGAGGTGAGGATTTCAACATATGAATTTGGGGGAGGCGGGTACAAACATGCAGATCATAGCACAGGCTAAGAAATATGTACCAAGCTCAACTTCAACCAATCTCCCCTGAAGGTCAAGCCAAAACAGATTTGGGCTGCACGCTAGCCAAGGAAGAAAACAGGACTGTCCGCTGTCCTCATTCCTGCCGGGCTTCTGTTTTCACTCCAAGTTCATTAGGATCCTTCAGAGATGGACGCTATAGGGCAGGACTCTTAGAAAACCCTTGGGGAAAGAGCCCATCATCCCAGAGTCTGCCATTCTTGAGGCACTCGGACCAAGGAGGGAGATAGACAAGGCTATGCACCTCTCTCTGGAGAAGGGGGTTGTAAGAAGCCTTTTATGATGAGTTGGCTGATCTCATGTCTCTTCTGTGCCAAATGTTCTTTGAGTGAAATCAAGTTATTTCTAATTTGTGTAAGAATAATATGCATCAACATGTTACCCATCGTTATCTCTGGGAAACGGCATTTCAAGTGGTCTTCATTTTCTTTCTTATAATTTTCCCTATCTTCACATTTTTCTATAGTAGATGTGTATTTTTATGATAAGAAAACATGTGAGCTGTTTCTGTTTGGCTGGAGCGGGGACTGCTCACACGAGTGGCAGAGCGACTCAGTGTGCAGGTGGGCAGGGACAGGTGCTGTCTGGTGGGGTGCGGCTGCCTGTGGCCTGGAGGTTGTGTTCCCAGTATGCCTGTGTCAGGTCAGGGGGTCCTCTTTCTCCTTTAGCTCCTCTTCTTTCCAAGGTCTGATATGACAGTCCCCAGGCTTGCAGGGAAAGCCATTGAGCTTGAAGAGAGGCAACCATGGGAGTGGGACAGTAGGGGACACCAAGGACAACAGAAAGGTGGCTTTCCCTGCACCTATAGACACGTCTCTGGTTGTGCTTTCAGGTGAACCTCAAAGCAGGAGCTCTGAATCGACCTCTCATCTGAGGACTGACTACTGCTGTCACTGCCAGCCTCCATCCCCTGCCCAGGCCTGTCACTGTGTCGCCCCTCAGCAGGTAAGGGGAGTGGCTTATCCTGTCTAAGAGCAGGTTCTTTCTGGAGAACAGGCATCTTTGCCAGGAGTATGTGTGGGGGCCTGGCTGAGACTCAGCTCTCAGGACCCATAAGGTGTGACCATGTCCTCAAGGCTCCTCACATTATCCCTGTGTGAGTGAACGTGCCCATCTTGGACAGCAATGGGAGAATACCAGCCCATCCCTGTGGGTTGTCGGGCCTTGGCTGGGGAACTGTGCTGTGTGCACCTGCCCATGGGAAAAGAGATGCTCTTCAGGTAAGCATCCTTGTTCTGCCACTTGCTGTGACAAGGGGAGGTCAACAAACACCACCCCACCCCAATCCTACAGTCTAAGCTGGTTGGTCCTTTTGGGCTTAGTGCTCTGTAGTCACTGGCAATAGAGGAGAAACGGCTCACAGCCAGCTGTGGCACTCCACCTCTGGTCTGTGCTAGAATCACCTTGGGAGGCTGTAAAATAGAGACGTCCAGGTGTGCAGGGTCACAGCATGGATCCCAGGTATGTGTGCTTTGAGAAACCAGATTGGCCCCCGGGAGAGAGAGAGAATGTGAATATGCACACAAAACAGCTTTGAGGATCACTGATGGCAATGAGTGACTGCGCTGGAGGTGGAATCAGGGAGAGAGGGAGCAACAGAGCAGAGCAGAGGTGGCAGCGCAGGCTTTTCTGGCCCATGTACCAGGGAGAGCACTTTCATCCTTGTGTTAGCATCTCTTTGTCTGATTACCAAGGGCCTCTTAATAGGACTCTGTAGGTACCTCCCCTCCCCACCTCCTTCTTTAGCAAGAATGCAGACTGAGGGGAGAGAGGGTTTTCTGTGTCGTTGTAAGATGGTCAGATGAAAAAGACATAAGTGTATTTTATATGCCGAGCTGAGGGAATCCAGAGACACAGACATTACAGGACAGAGCGGTGAGTGGCAGGGCAGCACCTTCAGAAAGGGGACCTATAAAGTGTTAGCCTTGGATAAGAAGATGCTTTCAGCTGCAGGTGACAAGTGACCCAACAAATGCAGCCTGAACGGTGAGGAATATGTTCTTTCAATTGCAAGGATCAGAAGTAGACCTTCCAGGACCCACCTAGCACAAGGCTCTGCAGCAATGTCTCTGTGAGTCTCCTGACCCTGTCTGTGGCTAATTCTTCAGGGGTTAGCATGGCTCTTGCAGCTCTGGATACAACTAAGTCAAGGCAACCAAAAACAGGGGTTCTCCCCTCATGCCTCGACTGGGGAGAAAAACCTTCACTACAAGTCCCTTGCAGATTCCCCTGGTGTCTCATTGATTAGGGCAATGTCACATGCTCTGGCCCCACTGCAAGGGAGGCAAGAAGGTGAGCATCTGGCATTGTCAGCCTCTGGACAGGAAGGTATGCCCTGCTGGCAGAGACAGCAAGTGTTGGAGCCACTGTGGGTGGGTCACCAGCAGGCTCTGGTGCAGAGGAGGCAAGGATGGATGTGAGCACAGAGCAGCTGTAGGTGGGGTGGGGGACACGAGGGTCCTGTCCTGATGGCCTTCTCTGTAGGCAGAGGGGCTGAGGTCCTCTGCTGAGCATGGAAGGACAGAGGTGGTGAAGGGATGATGAAGACTGAAACAGGAGGACAAAGGGAGGGAGAGATGATTTGGGACAAAGAGTCATCTTGCCAGGTAGCTGTGAGGACCCTGCTAAGGCTGGAAATTGAACATCTGCTAGCCAGAATTTTGGAGGTTCTCTCCTACAGTGCTTAGCACCCCACAGTGTGGGTGGAGAGGGGCAGGAGTTGGATCCTTATAAAGTTGGGTTTTAAGGAACAGAAGGAAGGGAGAGACAAGCAGAGAACATGGAAGACAGTGATAGCAGTGCTGGGTTGTGTTGTTCAGGCTGAATATGGAATTGCATGGAGCCAGGAGAGAAGGAAACATCAACAGAGGGCGTCGTAGGGTGAGACCGGGCCTAAGAACACAGCTCCTGGCTACGGGGTGGGCCTAGGGAATCTTGGCTGGGGTGGCTGTGGCTATATGGGCTGGAGAGCAGACACACTGGAGGGACTGAGGTGAGGATGTGGGAGAGATGGGAGTCCTTGAGGGGAAGATAATCAGCTCCCAAATATGGGAGCCCCCAGAGGGTGGGCCCACCCCAAAGCTTATTTGATCTCCTGGACATGAAAAGGAAAACATAGCTCAGCAGGGCCTGTTTTACATGTTAAGCATTTGGCCCATGTTCTCTTTCTGTGGAAAGGAGTGGAGTGTGTTGAAAATGTTCTTGAAACAAAAGAAAATCCAAAAGTAAGAAGTAACAGCTGCTCAGGATAAGAAGGAATTAGTGAAAGAACTCTGGAAGTAAGAAGAATCAAAGTGAAAGGACACCCACAAAAGGGAGCACCAGCTCTCTAGCAATGGATACCAACTAAGATCAGAATATTGAAATGACAAAGAATTTTGAACATAGATTGTAAGGAAGCTCAATGAAATGCAAGATAAAATAGAAACCAAACACAAAGACACCACAAAAACAATGTAGGAAATGAATGAAAATTCACTAAAGAAAATGAAATGTTAAAGAAAAATCAAACAGAACTGGAAATGAAAAATTCACTCAAGGTATTACAAAACACTGTGGAAAGCCTTAAGAATAGGTTAGACCAGGCAGAAGAAAGGATCTCAGGGATTGAAGACAATACCTTTCAATTAAACAAGTCAGTTGCAGAAATAGAACAGAGAAATAAGAGGAATGAGCAAAGCCTACAAGAAATATGGGATTATGTAAAAAGGCCTAACATAAGAATTATATGCATCCATGAGGGTGAAGAAGAAAATATACAAGGGTTAGATACACTATTTGAGGATATAATGGAGGAAAATTTTTCTGGCCTTGCTAGAAATCTAGATATCCAGGTACAAAAAGCTCGAAGGACACCTGGGAAATTCATTGCAAACAGGAAGACACCACAACACACAGTCATCAGACTGGCCAAAATAGACACAAAACAGGCCCTCCTATGACACGTAAGGGGAAAGCAGCAGGTAACTTACAAAGGAAAGCCTATCAGACTAACTGCACACTTCTCAACTGAGACCTTACAAACCAGAAGGGATTGGGGCCCCATTCTCAATATTCTCAAACAGAATAATGCCCAGCCTATAATATTGTATCCTGCAAAACTAAGTTTCATTTATGAGGGGGAAATAAAGTCTTTCTCAGATAAACGAACACTGAGGGTATTTGTCAAGATAAGACCTGCCCTGCAAGAAGCACTCAGAACTGCATTATTCATGGATCAGAACAATAGATACTCATCAGTGTAAAATCACCCAAAAGCTAAAGTCAAAGGCCAGATACTACAAGGTCTCAAGAGAGAAAACAAATCAACTAGGAAAACAAAGAAACTCACCCCATTTATCAATTCTTTCACTGAAGAGACATAGGCTTGCTGAATGGATAAACATGCACTAGCCATGTATCTGCTGTCTTAAGGAAATACATCTAACCCACAAGGACACATCCAGGTACAAGTTGAAGGGATGGAAAAAACATTCCATGCAAATGGAAACCAAAAGAAAGCTAGTATAGCAGTTCTCATATCAGATAACTTAGTCTTCAAATCAACAAAAGTAATGAAGGACAAAGATGCTCATTCTATAGCAATAAAGGGAACAATTCAATAAGAAGACATAACAATTCTAAATATACACTTAACAAAGGTGTATCCAGATTCATAAAGCAAATCCTATTTGATCTAAACAAAATGATAAACAGTAGTACTGTAATAGCTAGGGACTTCAACATTCCTCTGACAAAACAGGACAGATTCTTCAAACAGAAAGTAAACAAAGAAACAATGGACTTAAGCAGAACTCTAAAACAAATGGGTCTAACAGACATTTACAGAACATTCTACCCAAAAAACACTGAATATATATTCTTCTCATCAGCTCATGGGACATTCTCTAAGATTGGCCAAATTCTAGGCCATAAAACACACCTCAACAAATTTTTAAAAATAAAAATCTCAGACCACAGTGGAATAAAATTAGAAACCAAGTCCAACAGAATGCTCATCTCTATACAAAGTCTTGGAAATTAAACAACCTAAGGCTGAATGATAGTCAGGTCAAGAAGGAAATTAAGAAGGAAATCAAAAGATTCTTTGAATTAAATGATAAAGGAGACACAAGTTATCAAAATCTATAGGACACAGCTAAAGTAGTTCTGAGAGGAAAATTCATAGCCATAAATACCTACATCCAAAAGACAGAAAGGTCACAATCAATATTCTAATGAACCATCTCAAAGAACTAGAAAAAGATGAAAAAACTGATCAAAAACCCAGCAGAAGAAAAGAAATAACCAAGATCAGAACAGAACTGAGTGAAATTAATAACAAAAGAACTATATGGAAGAATAATGAAACAAAAATTTGGTTCCTTGAAAGGATAAACAAAATTGACATGCCTCTCACTAGATTAACCAGAAGCAGAAAAGAAAGGACTTTAATAAGCTCAATCAGGAATGAAAAAGGAGAAAGTACAGCTGATACCACAGAAATACAAAATATTATCTATGAATATCACAAAAATCACTATGCACATAAACTTGAAAATGTGGAGGAAATGGACAAATTCTTAGAAACAGACAGCCTCCCTAGGTTCAATCAGGAAGAAGTTGAATTCCTGAACAGACCAATATCAAATATCGAAATCAAAGCAAAAATAAAAATATTCCTAAAAACTAAAGTTCTGGACCAGATGGTTTCACACCCAAATTTTACCAGACCTACAAAGAAGAACTAGTGCCTAGCCTGCAGAAATTATTCCACAACATCGAGAAGGAAGGAATCCTCCCCAACGTGTTTTATGAAGCCAACATCACCCCGGGACCAAAGCCAGGAAAGAACTAAACAAAAAAGAAAACTACAGACCAATATCCCTTATGAATATAGATGCAAAAATTCTCAATAAAATCCCAGCAAACTGAATCCAGGTACTTATTGAGAAAGTAATCCATCATGACCAAGTGGGCTTCATCCCAGAGATGCAAGGATGGTTCAACATACACAAATCTATAAATGTAGATCACCACATAAAAAGAGGTAAAAACAAAGACCATATGTTACCCTCAATAGAGACAGAAAAATGTTCAATAAAGTTCAGCACCCTTTTATAATAAGAATGCTTAACAAAACAGGCATAGACAGCACTTACCTCAAAATGATAAAAGCCATATATGACAAACCCATATCCAACATCATACTGAATGGGGAAAAATTAAAAGCATTCCCACTTAGGACTGGAACCAGACAAGTTTGCCCTGTATCACTGCTTCTGTTCAACATAGTGCTAGAAGTCCTAGCCAGAGCAATCAGAGAAGAGAAAGAATTCAAGGGCATCCAAATGGGAGCAGAAGAGGTCAAACTATCACTCTTTGCTAACAATATGATCTTCTATCTAGAAAACTGCAAAGATTCTGCCAAGAGACTACTGGAATTGATAAATTCAACAAAGTCTCAGGTTACAAAATCAACGTACACAAATTAGTAGCATTCCTATACACCAACAACAATTAAACTGAGAACCAAATCAAAGACTCAATACCTTTCATGATAGCAACAAAGAAAATAAAATACCTAAGAATATATTTAACTAAGGAAATGAAAGACCTCTACAGGGAGAACTACAAAACACTGAAGAAGGAAATAGCAGAGATCATAAACAGATGGCAAACCATACCATGCTCATGGATTAGCAGAATCCATATTGTTAAAATGTCTACACTACCCAAAGTGATCTACAGATTCAATGTAATCTCTATTAAAATACTGACATCATTTCTTGAAGATCTAGAAAAAGTAATTCTACATTTTGTATGGAACCAGAGAAGACCCTGTACAGCAAAAGCAACCTTAAGCAAAAAGAACAAATTGGGAGGCATCTATTTACCAGACTTTAAACTATACAAGGCTATAGTAACAAAGGCGGCATGGTATTAGCACAAGAACAGAGACACAGACCAGTGGAACAAGACTGAGAACCCAGATATAAAACCATCCTCATATAGCCATCTGATCTTTGACAAAGCAGAGAAAAACATACACTGGGGAAAAGAATCCCTATTCGATAAATTGTGCTGGGAAAATTGGATAGCCACATGTAGGAGACTGAAACAGGATCTACACCTCTCACAAAAATCAACTTGCAATGGATCATAGACTTAAACCTAAGGCATGAAACCATAAGAATTCTAGAACAAATATGAACAGCAAGCAGGTTGATTTGAGTCTTGGTTTAACAGTTCCCCCTGGTTAACAACGCTACTATCCACCCTACTAGGCCCACTCATTATGCTAATCTTAGTCCTTACTTTCGGGACATGTGTAATTAATAGACTAGTAGCGTTTGTAAAAGAACGGATAAACACTGTCCAGCTACTAGTACTACAACAACAGCAGCAGCTGTGGTCAAGTGCTATAGAACTAGAGCACCTAAGAGACCTTGAGGATGAGCAAGAGTGCTCCTCTGCTACCTAGAGAAAGGGGGGAATGTAGGGCAGAGGAAGGGCAGAAGAATTTGCAGGACAGAGGAAGGGCAGAGGAATTTTTCCAATTGTCGGGAATTTACTTGGGTGGGGCAATGAGCTAACTGCAAACCTTTGCTTCTGGTCATTGGTTGCTTGCTACACCGCTGTATGGGGAATTATGGGATGAGGTCATTGAAGCACGGGCGACTGGCCCATCAGGCAATAGAGGGCAACCAACCCGCCAATTATTTCAAAAGGCAATAGTGGGCAACCAATCATTTTAAAGGTCAACGCATGATCCATGCATAGTCAGCTTGTGCGCAGCTTGTGCACCATGGGGATAAAAGGCATGCCGTTGTTCCGGTCGGGGTCCTTGCCTGCCAGAGTGGCCACTGCGTTGGTGCTCTGGGGCTTGGACCCTGGCTAGCCAGAAAATAAACCTCCTCTTGTGTGATTGCAAAAAAAAAAAAGAATTCTAGAACAAAATGTTGGGAAGACTCCTCTAAATATCAGCCTAGGCAAAGAATTTATAAAGAAGACCCCAAAGGCAATCACAGCAACAACAAAAATAAATAAATAAATTGGACCTAATCAAATTAAAAAGCTTCTGCACAAGCCAAGGAAACTATCACAAGAGCAAACAGACAGCCTACAGAATGGAAGAAAATATTCGCATGTTACACATCTGATAAAGGGCTGATAACTAGAATCTATATAGAACTTAGGAAAATCAGCAAGAAAAAATCAAACAACTCTATCAAAAAGTGGGCAAAGGACATGAACAGAAACTTCTCAAAAGAAGATTTGAAAAGTTTGACCAACAAACATATGAAAAAATGCTCAACATCTCTAATCATCAGGGAAATAAAAATCAAAACTGCAGTGAGATATCACTTATCTCCAGTGAGAATTGTCTTTATCAAAATCCCAAAACAATAAATGCTGGCATGGATGCAGAGAGATAGGAATACTCATACTCTGCTGGTGAGACTGCAAACTAGTGCAACCTCTGTGGAAAATAATATGGAGATACCTCAAAGAAATACAAGTAGAACTACCATTTGATCCAGCAATCCCATTACTGGGCATATACCCAAAAGAACAAAAGACACTCTATAAAAAAGACATCTGAACTAGAATGTTTATAGAAGCACAATTCACAACTGCAAAAATGTAGGAACAACCCAAGTGCTCATCAATATGTGAGTGGATTAATAAAAATGTTATATGTGTGTACCATGGAGTACTTAGCCACAAAAAACAATGGTGATATAGCACCTCTTGTATTACCCTGGACAGAGCTGGAGCCCATTCTACTAAGTGAAGTATCCCAAGAATGGAAAAACAAGCACCACATGTACTCACCAGCAAATTGGTTTTAACTGATCAACACGTAAGTGCAGATATAGTAATAACATTCATCAGGTGTAGGGCAGATGGGAGAGGGGAGGGAGGACCGATATATACACACCTAACGGTGCGGTGTGCACTGTCTGGAGGATGGACATGTTTGAAGCTCTGGTTTGGATGGTGCAAAAGCAATGTATGTAACCTAAACATTTGTACCCCCGTAATATGCTGAAATAAAATATTAAGGCCAGGCATGGTGGCTCACGCCCGTAATCCTAGCATTCTGGGAGGCCGAGGTGGGCGGATTGCTCGAGGTCAGGAGTTCGAAACCAGCCTGAGCAAGAGCAAGACCCTGTCTCTACTATAAATAGAAAGAAATTAATTGACCAACTAATATATATAGAAAAAATTAGCCGGGCATGGTGGTGCATGCCTGTAGTCCCAGCTACTCGTGAGGCTGAGGCAGGAGGATTGCTTGAGCTCAGGAGTTTGAGGTTGCTGTGAGCTAGGCTGACTCCACGGCACTCATTGTAGCTTGCACAACAAAGTGAGACTCTGTCTGAAAAAAAAAATATATATATATATATATTAAATAAAAAGAAATTTAACTTGAAGAAACACCCATAATAATATGAAAATACATGAATGTCTATAAATCTATTAATCGAAAAAACCATGCTATAGCCACACAATGGAGCTATAGCTGCGAATGTACTATGTAGCTGTAAAAAAGAATGAGTATGATCTTTTTTACATATTAGTGATCTTTTTTACATATTAGTGAACTAATTTCCAGAATATATTGTTAAGTGCAAAAGCAAAGTTCAAAAGTGCCGCACACACACACATATAATGTTATCTTTTTGTGTAAGGAAGAAGCAGAAATGCAAAAATATACATGTAACTGATTTTTATAAAAAACATACTCAAGAAATTAATAAAATAAAGTACAACAATCATTAGGTGGGGAGAAACTAAAACTGAAATGAAGTACAAACAGAAACAAACCGAGAAAAGATCCCAGCCAACACTTCCTCACACCTCACCCTGCACTGTTGAGAGTCACTGTCGCTTGTGTTTCTGCTCACAGTGACTAGTCCTGGCTCTGAGACTTTAGTTATTAGAGCAGTTTCTCGTTCGATGGGGCAACTGTGCTCTACAGCATAAGCTTTCTGTGACATAGGTGGCATTACAGTGGTCTTTTCTTAGTCAAGTGGCATCATTATGTTTTGGGTCAGGGGAGAGTTTCTTTCTCTTTCTAGAAAAGTAAATCTAAGCTTGGGATGAGGGGTGTGTGTGTGTTATATTGTTGAAAAACCAAACTCCCAACCTAAAGTTGGTAAACTTTTTGGAAGTACAGCAACTTAAAATAAGTAATAAAGCAATTGTATTCATCGGAGCTGTAGATTGCTAGGAGAGGCTTTTGGAAACAGTGAGAAGGATGCTCAGCCAGGGTTTAAAGCAGAGATCCTCAAACTTTTTAAACAGGGGGCCAGTTCACTGTCCCTCAGACTGTTGGAGGGCCAGACTATAGTTTAAAAAAAAAAAAACTATGAACAAATTCCTATGCACACTGCATGTATCTTATTTTGAAGTAAAAAAACAGACAGGCAAAAACACGCGCATGTGGCCCGCGGGCCGTAGTTTGAGGACGCCTGCAAAAGCTTTGAGTTCGGGCTCTGGATGCATAAGTGTTGGCTGTGGAACCTTTGGCTGTTGGCTGGATTGCTCTGATTTTTGCACTTTCTTCATTTACAAAACAAAATGTAAAACTGTCCTGTCAACTTTATGGGCTGCTAGAGGAACAAACAAGCAAGCATGGGTGAAAATGATTGATTACCTTACAAATATCCAGGTGTGCCTTGTGGTGGCAGCGGTAGTGGTACAGAACTCACTCCAGGACCATCTGTTCTCACTCTTCCCAGGACTGAGAAAAGCATATGTCTCCCTTGCTCCCCTCACTCTAGTAAAGTGTGCCCTTCTCTTGTCCCACGAGAATTTTCTACCGAATGCTCCCAGACGCTCCCCGGCTTGCAGGGAGCAGCTGTGGGAGGCGGGAGATGGGGAAAGGTCGGGCAGGGTCCTGCCTCACCCTTGGAAAAGCAGCACTTCTAACCCTTTGACTTTGGTTGCTCTCAGGGGCAGCAGAATGAAAGAAGGCATGTCCAACAACAGCACCACGAGCATCTCCCAAGCCCGGAAAGCTGTGGAGCAGCTAAAGATGGAAGCCTGCATGGACAGGGTGAAGGTAAGCGTGCCTCCCCCTCTGCCCAGAACTCAGCTCAAAATTTTCCTCCGGTTTCCGAAGCAGCCTGGTGAGAGTTAATACGTCACCCGCCAGAGCATCCAGCCAACCTTAGCTGTAACATTTACAAATGAATGTTTGCTTCTGAGTTCTGAGTGTGCCCGAGGATTCGAATGATGCAAAATACACAGTGTGCATGAATTCCGTAAGGAGTTGCCAAAAATAGACTCATAATTCATCTTGGCTCTCTTTTAGCTCCGTTGTCATGCCAATAAGCAAGAAAGAGAGTTTAACAATGAGATCAATCACTGTTTTTCTGCCCGATACAGTGACTTTGAGGCTAGACAACATCGGATATTTTGACAGGGTTCCTGTCGGGGGAGAAGCACTGAACCGTGCCTGTGTTTGTCAAATATTCCCTGGGGGAAAGTGAAGAAAGGTGCCAGCCAGCTCCCACTGTGCTCATTTGGCTGCTAAGTGCAGGTCTCTTCATGCTGGGAAGGCTGAAGCAAGATGAAGCCTCCTATTCTCCAGGTGCCACTTAGAGGTGAGCAGGAAGTCTGGCAAAACAGGTGGCTCTGAAATACATTTGGAGCATATTCTTGCACACACTGATACCAACTACAAATCAGATATCAGGCCTTAGTCTCTAGGCTGGAGGAGGATTCAAGGTTAGCATGCAGAAAACAATTCTAAAACAGGGTGAGCCTCAGTAGTGTAGAAAAATATTGAAGAATGAGTGCAGTGGTCCAGCGGTGCAAAGACAGAAGGAACAACTGCTGGGAGGGTGTGGGCTGTGGTGGAAGCATCCCTGCACACCCCCTGTGCGCTAGCACGGTCCTGGGACAGGGCCATGGATGGGACAGTCTCCACCCTCTTGCTCAGAGAACAATTCTTGCAGTTGGGAGCTGTGGTTGCTCCTGAACTGGTACCAGAGCAGGATTTCCGCCACTGTGAGCGAGTCGTGGCCAGTGTCCGGCAGCTGGACTTGCTGGAAGCGCTGCAGGTCATGCTGGGAAGACAGTTTGGGGCAGCTCTGGTGGGGACAGTGCTGTGCACACAGGTGAGGATCATAGAAACTATTGGGCGTGAAGCCGAAGCCATGAGGGGACAGGTGTCCGAGGTGAACCACTCTGGCAGCAATAGATTGAGTTGCCAGAGGTGAGAAAGTTGAAGCTCTGAGTGTTCAGGAGAGGCAAGAGGGACAGAAATTGGGTGTCGTGTGAAGCAGAGAGCAAAGGTGGGATTAGAGAGGCAAACACACCAAAAAATCAGCAGAACTTGGTGAACAAACATGGGAGACGCTAGGAAGAGAGAAGGTGGAATCAACTGGCTTTGGCTATAGGACAGTTCTTTGCCCAGAAGTTCTACTTTGGCAAGGAAGATAAATTCTGCAAAAAGAGATCCTCACCTCCCACAAACACCACTGGGGTTCATCCATGTTTTCTCAAATGACAGAATTTTCTTCTTTTTAAAGACTGAATAGTATTGTGCGCATATATATATATATACCACATTTTCTGTATTTATTCATCTGTTGATGGACACTTGCATTGATTCCATATCTTGGTGCTGCAGTCAACATAGGAGTATGGATATTTCTTTCACATACTGATTTTATTTCCTTTAGATATATACCCAGAATCGGAATTGCTGGATTATATGATGGTTCTGTTTTTTGATTTTGGGGAAACCTCCATATTGTTTTCCAAAATGATTGTAGAAATTTACATTCCCACCAACGGTGTACCAGGGTTCCCTTTTCTCCATATCCTTGGCAATACTTGTTTCTTTTGTCTTTTTGATGATTGCCATCCTAATGTTACCAGCCTCTGAGTGGAGGTTTTTCCAAGTTCTCCGTATTTGTGTGGAAAAGAAGTTCAGGACGCACCACGTAAACCAAGCAAGTGAGAGCTTTATTGAAAGCAAAAGTACACACTCAGGGATGAGTGTGGGCAGGCTCGGAAAGAGCAGCTGCACTGAGAGGAAGTGGTTTTATGTCTTTTGTAGTCTTACTAATTGAGGGAAGGAATGTTCAAGTCCAGGATTTGGCATTTACTAAGAATTTGGGTAATAATTCCTAGAATGGGGTTCCCTCCCATTTTCATACTTTATATGGTTGTTTTGGGAACTGTCATGGTGATTCAAGGGCAGAGAAAGTTTGACATCACAATGTAAATAAATGATATTGTAATTAGCCAAAGTTCCCCTAAGGTGGCACAGACAGCTGACAAGCGAAACTTCTTGCCTGTGGTATCAGCCCTTCTAGTTAGCTTCTGTTTAAGAGTTGTTTCACACCTGATCTTTAAGCCCCTGCACCTGGTCTCAGCCCTGTCTCCTGATCTCTTACTCTAACACTAACAGGTGGGAGGTGATGTCTCCATGTGGTTCTTAATTTGCATTTCCCTGTTGATGTAGTGAGGTCTGCTTTTTTGGTAATAGTCATCCTAATGGGTAGGAAGCTCACACATGGTTTTAAGCCCTAGACATCCCTTGCTTCAAGGCACAGTGTGGCTTTGGGGAAAGATCTATTTGATGCAGTGCTTGGCAAGAGAAGGTGTGTGTTGATATCAATTAACCAGACTACAAGAACACAATGTGGAAAGAAAAGGAGCCATCAAAGACACCCCAGGAAGACCTTGTCAAGGCCTTGGGGGGAGAAAGAGGAAGAGAGTCACCAGGAAGAGGCAGGGGTCTTTCTCAGGTGGGTGCAAGATCACTGCAAGAGAAGAGGAAGGAAAGGGGGAGCCTGGACAGGAGGTAACAGAGGGAAGCCCCATGGAATGAGGAAAGGAGCAGTTTGTGGAACTCACACAGACTGTGCTGGGAATGTCAGATCTAGAGAAAGCAAAGAAGGATTTTCCAAGGAGGGAAAAAGGACAGGCCCATGCTGATGGCATGGGGAGAATCCAGAGAAGGTGAAGGTACCAGAGAGGGGAGCATGAGCTGGAAGGGACACAGCTGGTTGCTCCACAGGAGAAACCATGGCAACTGTGAGGCCCCTGAGCTGGCTGCCAGGTGGGAACCCAGGAGGACAGTCTGGGCAAAGGTGGGTGTCGGCATGAGACCCAAAAGGCAGCCCCCAAGCTGGCGTGCTGTGTAGCCAACTGCAGAGCCCACCACCGGGCTTTGTGGTTTATTGTGCTTGAAAGAGTGTCCAAGCAGGAAGGAAGGAAAGGATGGCTTTTTGCCACTCAGGAGAACAACAGGGAGACCTGTCAGCAGGGAGAGAAGGGGGAAAAATAATTACATTAAGCAGTTGTTTGGGTTGCCAAGGTAAGAAAAGGTAACAGTGCAAACTCAGAGGTTTAGGGAGCTCATGGAGGAAAAATATAACTGAAGTGTCCACTATCATCTTGATGTCCTGTTTGTTCCCTGAAAACATCATTTGTACAAAAGCACTAGTACAAATGTAGACTTTTTTTTTTTTTTTTTGGTAAGGGTTGTAGACAAAGGCTTTACACCTCCTAGCCCATAGCAAGACCTCAAACCCATGCACACTGTGGTTCCGTATGATCCAGCAATCCCACTGCTGGGTGTATATCCAAAAGAAAGGAAATCAATATATCAAAGAGATATCTGCACCCCCCTGTTTATTGCAGCACTATTCACAATAGCCAAAATATGGACTCAACCTAAGTTCCCATCAACAGATGAATGGATAAAGAAAATGTGGTATATAAACACAATGGTATATTATTCAGCCATTAAAAAAAATGAAATTCTGCTATTTGCAGCAACATGGATGGAACTGGAGGCCATTGTGTTAAGTGAAATAAGCCAGGCACAGAAAGACAAATATCGCCTGATCTCACTGATATGTGGGAGCTAAAAAGTGGATCTAATGAAGACAGAGAATAGATTGGTGGTTACCAATAGCCAGGAAGGGAGGGAGGAGGGGGGAGGAAAAAAAGAGAGGAACAAAGAGAATATAAATGTATTTATTACTACTCAACTGTATACCTGAAAATGATAAAGATGGTCAATTATATATGTATTTTTTACCTCAATAAAAAAATAGTTTTAAAGAGCCCATTAAGTATGTGAAGAAGCAATTACTTAAGACAAGTATAGCTCACTTTTATTGTATTCTTTTTTCTTTTTTTTAATTGATAGTAATTTTACATATTCATGGATACATAATGACATTTCAATATATATAATGCATAATGATCAGATCAGGGTGATTAACATATTCATCACCTCAAACATTTATCATTTCTTTGTGTTGAGAATATTCAATGTCCTCCTTCTAGTTATTTGAAACTGCATATTATTGTCAACTATCATCATCCTTTTTATTACATTGTTAATATATGTCAGGTGCTTGAATTTTCAAACCAGCCCTGAAATATTGGTGCTACTAGTACCCCATTTCACAGCCAACAAAACTGAAGCCCAGAGTTTTCATATGATAAAGTAAGGATACAAATCTAGAACCTCGGGTATTGTCACTAAACCACAGTGCCCCACCTGCAAAGGAGATAGTGTCTGGACAACATTTCTTAACAGTTCATAAGATGCCAGCCTAAAGAGAAACAGCCTCGGCAATGAATTCTCTACCCAGCAAAGTGGCCATTTATGTCCACAGTGACATAAATATATTCTCAATTATGCAGAAATGTAAATATAATGCAAATATGTGCTGCTTTTCTTTAGCAAAATTATTTCATTTAATTCAACTGAATTTCACTGGCCGGGCGCGGTGGCTCACGCCTGTAATCCTAGCTCTCTGGGAGGCCGAGGCGGGCGGATTGCTCGAGGTCAGGAGTTCAAAACCAGCCTGAGCAAGAGCGAGACCCTGTCTCTACTATAAATAGAAAGAAATTAATTGGCCAACTAATATATATAGAAAATATTAGAAAATATTTATTAGAAATAAATATTAGAAAATAATTAGAATATAATAGAAAATAGAAAATATATATAGAACAAATTAGATGGGCATGGTGGTGCATGCCTGTAGTCCCAGCTACTCGGGAGGCTGAGGCAGAAGGATTGCT